CTCAAGTATGGGGGTGTATCCTCCTCTCACCAGCCTTTCCTCCCTCAGGCAGGGTGGGAGGGAGGCCTATCAGTCCTGTTGGTACAGCCTGGAGGATGGCCATATTGATGTCTGTGCCTTGTATCCAGTGAGCTGTTTTTGTGTGCTGTGCTCCAGGCTTCTCCCACCTGGCTCCTTGCTGCCCTCTGTGCTTCTGGGTGAACACCCGGCTACCTAGTGCAGGTCTGGTCCACCCTGACCCCTCTATGTTTGCAGGTGCTGGTGGACATCTTTACTGGGGTGCGGCTCTACTTGCCGCCCTCTACACCAGACTTCAGCCATCTCAGACGCTACTTTGTGGCATTCAATGGGGACCTGGTGCCGGAATTTGACATCACCTCAGCCACACATGTGCTTGGCGACAGGGACAAGAACCCTGAGGCCCAGCTGGTCTCCCCAGAGTGGATTTGGGCATGCATTCGCAAACGGAGGCTGGTAGCTCCCTGCTAGGACTGCGGTCTTTCCTGCCTTAAGCTGTACTCTCCCTGCCACCCCATCACAGGGCTCAGGCTGGGACAGGCAGGTGGAGAGCAGAGGAGGGGGCGGGCTTTCCTTTCTTAAGGCATGAAATCTTCCAAACCCACCAGCTCTTCATGGTCTTTCCTGGACCAGGAGTAGTTGCAGTGGACACCACAAGTGAAGTCACTTTCTCTTGGTGGTTTAAATAGATCTCTCAGATCTGGGTGCTGGCATTGTCATCCTTATTGTTTTCTTTAAAAAAAAAAAAAAAGAACTTATTTTTTTATAAATAAAATATCTCACAGTAATCTGGCTCGCCCCTGCTCCCCCTAGTTCCCTTAGAGGGAGTGAAGTCTGGGCTGTGGAAGCCTTGTTGGCATCTTCTCTCTTGCCTGTCCCTCACAGCTGTATTTAAGGGACTGCCCACCGAATTGGCAGAATTTGTATTCAGCCTGGCTGCCTTTTGCCAGCATGAACCTTTGTTTAAAAGGGAACAAGATGGACTTGGTGGCTTCATTCTCTGGGTAGGTAGGAGAGGCAGGAAATGAGGCCTGTTTGTGGAGGAAGGCGGCCACTGGGTTGGGGGGCTCCGTAAGGTCAGTCTGCCTCCTTGAAGACTCAGAACCAGAGTGCTGTAGGAAGACAGACCTGCACCTGAAGACATGTCTACACGGAGCCAGCTCTGTGGCTGATTTGAAGAAGAAAAGACAATTTGTAGAGACAAGAGCTGTCAGAGATGTCTTCATGCCGGTGGAAATATCCTAAAACCTGTGCTGCTGAGCTGAAGAAGCCACGTTGCTACTGAGCACTTGAATTGCGAATATCCCAACAGAAGGGCCCAAGTATTCAGTTCAACTCCAAAGGGTCACAAGCTAACAGTCTACACCATTAGACAGGAGGGGCAGAGACAGACCTGGTTCAAGTCCTGGAACCGAATAGCTATAACCTGAGGCAAGTTGTTTAACCACCGGCACACCAATCCCCTTGAGTAGAATGGGGATGAGCACTGCTCCTGAGTCGCAGGTGATGATCGGGGACCTCAGATACATTGTGTATAACAGAACAGAACCTGGCACACAGTGTCTAGAGTTGGGAGCAGCACCGTTCCATGCATGCCCAGACCCAGCCTAGAAGAGATGGCTTCTAACCCCAGAGCCTACAGCTGTGTCCAGGACCATAATCCCTGCCCCTTGTGTTGAACTAGGATTATACTCTGCTGGGAGGCTCCCTGCCAGTTTGAAGGCCAGCCTGAATTTGACTTGACCTTAGCTTCCACCTACTGTGTAAAGGGGGTGGGGAGCTTTGAAGGCATTGTCCTCATGGCACTGGGCATTTGGTGTCTCTGACTATGCCCTTTGGCCTGGATTTAGTACTGGGACTAAGATACTTGTTAATCTGTCCTTTGTGACTATCCTGCACAGGCCTTTGTCCCTGTCCAGCTTCCTCAGGCCAAGCAGCTGGGCAGGGCTAGCGCACAGGGCCCTCCCTCCCTGCCCACCACCTTCACTGCTTGCTCGCATTCAGGGCGCACTGTCCCAGCAGAGCAGCAGGGTACTGCTCCCAGTTACAAGTCCATCCTCTACCTTCCGTGTTAGCTCCATCTCAGCAGTTTGTGCTTCCTTCCAGTCTTCCCGGCACACTTTTTAATAAGGAGATTAGATGATACATAGTTGATAAGGCTAAACCTTCCTGGAAAGGTGAAGGCACTTTTGTGTGGTGCTGCTGGGGATTAAACTTGACCTTGTACATGACGGACAACCACTATCAACTGAGCTATCCCCCAGTCAGCTCCTGCCCTCCTTTAAGTTTTTGAGACAGTCTTGCTAATTTGCCCAGGATGGCTTTGATGTCTGCCTCCAGAGTAAGTTGCCTGCCCTGTCATTGTCACTGGCTGCCAGCATGTATCACTGAGTGCTGAGCAGATCAGCTGTCAGAGCAGTGAGGTGAAAGTTCTATGACCCAGCCCTATGACCCAGCCCAACCACCTGCTTGGCAAGATTCCGTCCTGCTTTCTCAGGGGCATCCTCCCCCTTCCCTGTTGCATTTGGGTCAGGGAGGTTATATACAGGCGAATGCATGCACAACAGTGCCTAGGAGGGTGGGCCAACCTCTGAGCCACACTTCAGCTATACCCGAAAGCTACCACTTTCTCCTAAGATGACCTGAAGACTAAATTGCCTCCCCTACTGTCCTCAGATATTTTTTCTGCCTAGATACTGAAGGGTCATTTTTACTTGATCATTTTAAATACCCGAAATTACCTGGTGCTGCTTCCCAGCCATCTTGGGGGAAGCATACATCCTTTTCCTACGAGCTACCTTCTCTTCCAGACTGTTCCCACACACCACTTGGAGATTTGGAGTGACTTACAAAAACACCTGTGTGCACATTGCTTGGGATTTGCCTATGGTTTGTCAGTTCTTTTGTTAGTAAATCATTTGACCTCTGGCATCATCCTCAGACCAGATCCGACAGACATCTATATTGAAACTTTATTACAAAATTATAAAGCAGAGCTCTGTAACAAAAAAATACATATTTGGGTGTGCTTTAACACCCAAGTAAGTCTGACAGCATCTTAATATAAGCCACTTGAAATGACACTGGCATCCAGGAGATTTCAACAAATTGGTACAATATACTGAGCACTAATTCCTGTACAGCTTATTAGTTTGGATTCAACTATCCCAACATATGAACTAGTCAGCTGTGCAAGTTTTTAAAACAAGTCTCAACTGAAATCTCAAAGCAATCACAGCAAAAGCCACAGAATGATCAGAATTATTAAATGTTTCCATGATAATTAAGACCAAGGATCCATGAGGGACAAGAGGAAGGACTCAATAAAAAAAAAAAAAATCAGGTTTTCTACTTGGGGTTGATATTAACTGGAATGGAATCTTGAAACTGCCAACTTTTATTTGGTGTAATAATAAAGGTAACAAAAAAAAAAAAAAAAAAATCCAGGGTGGTTTGACACCTTTTTTTCACCAAAAGAAAACCTTCACCAAAAGATAGATTTAAAGGCAAGTTCTTTCAAAATAAGTGACATTACTCATTCTTGTTGAGTTTACAACCAGCCATCAGTGTATTTTCAGTTCCTGTATGGGAGGAAGTTGGAGGTAGGGGAGGTAAGGCTTCCGCAGGCTTAGAAAGCAAGTAATAAGAAGGGGGAAGGCTGGCTTAGCTTCTTCCTTGAAGTTATTGCTAGATCTTAACTAAGCTGCATGTGCACAGACCTGTTTCATAGTAGAACTGAGGAACACCTGATCCAGTGAGCCTTTGCTAAAGTAGTAGACATCAAAAACTACAGTACTTATTGTCGAGCAGAAAGATGAAAGGCAAGCCTTCACTGGAACATGCCGGGTTCCCCAATTCCTACAAAGGCACCCAGAATGAGAGCGTCTGGACTTGGTACAGTGTTGAGGTAAGTGAGCTAGCATTCCATTGACAACTATTTTATGAAATTCTTCCTGAAGGTGTTTTAATGGTTGATGGAAGGAAAGCCTAAGTGTGTACTAATGTAATAGGCCCTGGTAGAGGTTTCCATCTGCTTTGCAGCCAGTTGGTCCTAGTCTAGACAATATGTATGGGGGATGAGGAAGGGGCAGTCTGCATAGCTCATTCATTGGTAATAAACACATCACTCTTCTGAGAACATGTTTTGTGCTTTGCTGAGCTCTATCAAACCTAAGCCATTCAGCTTCTGCAGAGCCAAGAGGGCTCAAAAATCATCACTACTCATTAGCTAGTCCTTTGTAAAAGGACCAAAAGATCTATCTTGCCCCCAAATCAACAGACTGAGAAAAAAAAAATGAAAGTAGGGACTTAATCCATAGGCAGAATTCAGCCTCATTCAGTATTTTCCAGTACCTCTAAGTTCCTCTGCCTAACACCTTTATATTCCAAGAACTTCAAAAAAGTTCAAGAACTCCTTGGGCCAGGGAGATGGCTCAGCGGCATAAGTGCCTACCTGGTGTGCACAAGGTTCTGAGGGCAATTCTCCAGTACCAGGAGAAAAAACTCTGCCTGTCTCTATCTATGCTTTTGGTGAGACGAAGACTAAAAACCTCGTTGGAAAAGGTAGGGATCTCAGTAGAGTGTTTAATGCCCTTTCCTATTAGACAAAATGTAGAAGCCAAAGTTAAGCAGAAGGACACTGCCTCTACCCCATGCTTCCCCCTTCAATTTGAAGTTAAGGATTGTGCAATCAAGTCTCAAGAGAAAGCAGCAGAGATGATCTGTGCACATCCTTTGTGTACAGATTCTGGAACTTCTCAGCAGTTCGGAAGCCAGATATTTGGTTGGCCCCCAGGGTTAGGTCATGAGCCTGATAGCGTCCAACCCAACACTTCAGGGAGCAACTCAACATAATTGTTATTTTTCTGTAGCACTTATGTTTCATTTTTTACCAGAGGGAAGTTAACTTCTAAATTCAGTCTTAAGGACCACTGCTGGTCTGATAAACTAATATTTTTGGTCCAAAGAAACAAGGATACAGCAAGAGACTTTAAAGATGTTAAAGCACAGAAAGCTAGAGAAACCAGAAATTTAAATCCAGATGTGCAGAAGAGGAAGGAACCATTTCTAGTAGACTTCTGATTGGCCAAGTGCAGGCAGGCATTTTCAGGGGATGAGCGGGGTACAGAAGAGTAAAAATTTTCTAGGTTCTCAGAGGAAGGAAGACATGGTCCAAGTTGTGGAGTCCTCTGCTCATCAATTCCCGTCCATACTCCCAAGGTCACTGAAGCAGGCACTCACCCACGTGATCTGTAGCAGTTCCCACTGGCCTAAGCTACTCTGCCAGCCAGGAGGGACACCTGTACCAGACTAGCACGCCCAGGGATAACACAGCATCTTTGCTTGCCCTGGTCTTGGGAACACTGAAAAATTTCTTCTGTTAGCTCGTCTCTACAAGGTGACCAACCCTGAGCCCAGCCACCCTGGGCTAGATCCCTGTAAGGCACTAAAGCAGCCAGTACAAGCCCTCAGGATCGGAAGACGTGCACAGCTCGAATCACATATTGCCGGCAGATGGGGCATTCATTCATGCGCTTGCCACACTTGGTACAGGTTACCATGTGTCCACACTCGAGCAGAACACAGTCAATGGGTGAGTCCATGCAGATCTTACACAGGTTCTCCTCTAAGCCAGATGGCACGGCTCCTCCTGTTCAAAAACAAGAAAAAGGCATAGGGGACATAAGATTGTCTTAGTGGGGAGGCAGGTCAGGTGGAAAAAAGAGAATAGTCATAGTGAATAAATCTCCAAACCACACACTGTTTAAAGCAAGCTCCTCCAAGAAAACTTCAGTAAGCTACTCCAGGTGTTTATTGGCTTCACAATAAACACCCTCAGAGGGCTACAGATAAAGAATACAGTATTTATGCATTAAATATATTCCACAATTTGAGAACTAAGACAAAGTCCTCAAAGCTTAAAAGAAATAATTTTGAAATAACTGAGGTTGTAATACAGTGAATGAGTGGTAGTTTGGGACTCCATATCCCCTGAGATAAGCATGCAGAAAAGATAAAACTGGTTGAGAAAAGTTTAGATATAAACAGAAGTATAATGAATGGCTCATTAAGAATCAGGACGCTTATCTATAAAAACACAATTTAATGAAACTACAAATCACGGAGGCCCATGAAATACTCCTGGGCTTCCTCTGAGGAGACTTACGGAAAAGTTTGCCAGAGCTTACTGTTCCCTCTGCTGTGCAACCCCCGTACGCACTGCTTATCACACTGGATTATAATTTCAGTTTGCTTACTTCTCTCTCCCCATGGACTTAGAGCTCCTTAATTCAACATACTCAATTTCTATAATCATATACTTAAGTTTGCTCTCTCTGAGGGCAGATACTCATCTTTGAATCCCAAAACATGAGTCACATGGTACGTATTCTCTAAATATCTGATAATAAACATTACTCAAGGGAATAGTAACAACTCCTATTTACTGGATGCATCCCACTGCGCCAGGCAGGTCCTCTAAGACCTTTGCATGTATTAACCCACTGAATCCTCAATCGAACTCTGGATTATTCCTATTATTCTTACTGTATAGATGGGGCAGCTGGGGCTAAGGAGCCAAGAGGCCTGCCCAGTCATACACAGCTGCTCAGTGGAAGCAAAGTCTCACACCTAGGTGGCTAGCTACACAACTGGGCAATATGGCTCCCAGGTGGACCGTCAAGACATCATCAACTGCCAGAGCATGAAGTTCTCACTAAGTGTGACCTGGCTGGTGTCATTAGTAGCACACAGTGGGCACACCATTATCAAACAAAAATCTTCATGATCAACAGCCTGGCTTTCTCCAATAATGTCTTAAATTGCAGGCTGAGTTTGGTAGCCATAGAGACCCGGCCTCATACAGGTCACTTCTACTACCTGGATTTAGCTATTCCACAAGGAGTTTTGTCTCAGTCTGTTGCTGTGAACTTTTCCTCTTTTCTGAACTATTCAAAAGGTCAAGAAACACTTCCCAGGCCAGTGAGATAGCTCAGCAGTCTAAAGTGCCTGCTTAGGCAAGCACTCAGGGACTGAGGTTCGATCCCCGGCACCACATGCTGCGCCAGCCCTGCCCCCAAGGGTGGGCTGAGCCGGCCACCAAAAAAAAAAGAGCATTCAGTAAAGGGTGCTCAATTTAATCAGAAACAAAATGAAGGAGCCTGCGTGGTGGTGCACATCGGTGATCCCAGTCCTGGGGAAGTTGAGGCAGGAGGTCACTGTGAGGTCAGGGCTGGCCTCAGCTACACAGCAAGACCCTGTCTCAAAAAAAAAAACCACTTCCCTGGCAGGTGTGGTGATGTACACCTGTAATTCAAGCCCTCAAGAGGCTGAGGCAGGAGGATCACTGAGAGGTCAAGGTCAGCCTGGGCTACATAGTGAATTCAAAGCTAGCCTAAACTACATAGCAAGACCATCTCAAAAATCTTGCCTTAGGTGGTGGGCAGGCTGTGAAAGAGAGTGAAACCTATTTACCTCCTTTCTGGGGTTGCTGGCACAAGGAATCTAAGTAAGCTCAAGTAATTTATAGAATTTCAGTTATTCTTTGCTCTCGGGAGTAACCAATTATTGACTCAATTGTCTACATCCTCCCCAGGAATACTAAAAAGGGAGCAAGGCACTGCGTGGATTAGCCTCATCTTGGTGTCAGGAAGGCATAGGTCTAGACTTCCAAAAGCTCCCGAGGAACTATGAAAAGCTCAACTCTGCCCTGATCTGAGCACAAAATGTGGGATTATCTTTTGAAAAAAAGTTTTAAAATGCCTTGTAGGCCCCACCCCTATTCGAAGAATGTTCTCGTTGGGAAGGAACTCATAACCACGTCCCTTAAAGCTTCAAAATCATATAGCAAGCTTGAGAACGTGGCCTTGCTGTCAGGAGTTCCGCAGTGTGTCCGGGATGCCCCAGGAATGGTCTTCATACACAGGTCGGTACATGGCAGCTAGGTGGGGGGATACGCACCTCATGCCAACAGCACCTGAGTGACAGCTTTCTTCTTGTCTCCAGAGCAGGTCCATCTAAACTGGGCTATCACGTCACCACCCTTGCCTTATGGTTGGCACCAGAAGCTGAATAACATCTAAGTGACTTCCTGAGGTACTCTCCCCCCTCCCAAGACCAGTTTCAATGAAGTTGACACCAAAAATTGGAAAAAATGACACAAGTGGCTTTCACAGTCTGCCTTCAGGCTGCTGTGACTCTGTTTTTGTCACAGGAGACGGGGTGGGGAGAGAGTTCCTAAAGATGCTGAGAACCAAGTTCTCAGCAAGCGTCTTCAGCAGTTAGCAGGAATCAGGCAGAGAAAGTCAGAACAGCTGAAAGCCTAAGCCCACTGCCAAAGAGAAACTGCTACTTACCGTTTTGGTCTTCAGCACCACACACTAGAAAGGAAAGAGAAAGACGTCTGAATAGGTAACATGTCACCAGATGTCTCTATCACACTGGCATCATTTCTTAACTCCCCTCAATTTCCCAGCTTGCCAACAGTGTAGGGGGACACTCGCCCTCATCATTCTACACACATGGGGAGAGCTCAGATGGCTTCTGCCAGTGCGTCACACTACTTGTGAAAACGTGTTCCGCTGGTCTGCATGAACAACCCTGCACAGCAACCTTCTCTGTGCCTCTGAAGCCAGCATTAAAGTCAAGAAAGAATGAAGAATGTGGCTATTTCAGTCAGCTGGGGATTCTGGACAAAGTTCTCGTGTGCAGTCAATGCTCTACTTCCCTGGGAGACACTTGAAAGAGTCCCAAAAGGAAGACAGACGCATGTCAGAAGCCCAGTCTATGACCAGGTGCATAGCTGGATTCTGCTCAATCTGAGCTGTTCAAATTTATTAGAGAAGAACGCAAGACCTTTGTCACCGACTGTTAGCATGCAAAGAATCAAAATGATGTCTGCCAGGAACTAAAGCAGCTGGGATATGAAGGGAAGTGGGCGCTCTGTGGTAAAGCAATTTCAGGAAATGCCAAGTTCAAACAGCCAACATACTTCTCTTCTGCAGGGCTTCTCTGCATTTGATATGAAATATATGTCATGAATCAGTAATGGCACACAGAATAAAGTATTTGTTCCCAAACTCACTTAACCACAGGCTCAGGTATTCGGGGGAAGGGAACTGTATCTCCTGAAAATGACACCATGTAAAATGGAGATGAATGAAAGGTAAAGCCCACATGCAGAGCAGACATTCTACCATGTGTGCTAAGCCTTTCCGTCTAGTCTAGAATTAAATGTTGGAGCTAGGAGTCTTGTGCAGGTACCACATGGTAAGAAAGGCCATAGACTTAGACCAGAAAATCCTCAGGTCAAATCCAGGCTTCACAATAAAAGGGTGATGCTAATGATGCCTACGGCATAGCGAACTCAGGATGAAATGTATACCGTGCTGCACCCAGTGTTAGCACTCAGCTGTGACAGCTGCTGTTAGATGGCCTGAAGATGTAAGTTGACCTCCACCATGGCTAAATGTACTGGGCTTCCATCAGGCTGACATCATGCTTTGGGGTAACAGCAAACATCCACTCACCTAGATGCTGGAGTCCTTTCTGATCCTTATACAGCCGTGTCACCCTCTCCATCAGCTCCCACTTCTCACAGCAGCCCTTGTAGTTGACAAAGTTGCGAGCCAGGATCTCTTTTAGCTGCCGCACTGTTAGGCCTTCAATGTCCTCCAGGTGGGTCAGGTCGGACAGTGAGGCCCTCCGGCCTGGGACGAAGCTGTCCTCTGAGTCAATGGACTACAATGGCAAAGATGAGAGTGGGCTCAGCTTGTACTTCCCTTCCACTGAGCTTTCTCTCTAAAGACCCCAGAGCACTCATCACAGTGCTCGTTGCTGACTGACCTCAAGAAGAGCATGAATAGACAAAATAACTGAATAGTGCTTTAGACTGGAAAAGTCTTTTCCTGGCCCACAGCTCTGCATTCAGGCACAGCTTGCGTGATACACCAGGAGCACTACTTTGAGGCAGATCACCCTTATTTGAATCCTGACCTCTCTGCTGACTAAATGCTAAATAACATCCCGGCAAGTTGCTGATCTAGTCCACTGATAAAGAAGAAATAGCAGTTCTACTGTCTGTGTCATCCCTGCCTGGCACCGCTCCATCCATCGCCTGCACCACAGCTCCATGGCCTGACAACCGTGCTCTCTGCACTGGCTGAGGCCTGAACTTCTCACTACCTGACCTCTTTTTCCTAACAATGCCGCTTGTGCTAGAAGCAGGAGAAAAGAACAAGATTTTCACAGCAACACCCACAGCCTGCTCTCTAGCAGCTCTTAGAAAATCCAGAAGACTGGGAAACTGATGGGTCATGAGGCTCCCCCCTCACTAAGGCCTCGCACTGCTGACTCACACAGCAGCAAACTCCCCTGCGAACAGGACTCCGGGAGGACTGTCACCACAAACCCGGTCTCGCCTCTCTACCTGAGTCTGCTAAGAGGCTCCTAAGAACACCAGTGGAAGCAAAGGCACAGGGGCAGGCCCGTGCAGAGGCCCACCTGGGTCTCCTCCTCAGCAGGTGCTCTAGCTGTGCCTTCCAGGTAGACCGGCTCTTCTTGGTCCTGAGACACATGACCATTGGCCTGCAGGAAGAGAAAGATGCCAGCACATCCAGAAATAGTCTGGAGGTTTGCAGGGCGAGCGCCTCTTCCCAGGTCACACAATGTCCAATAATACTCCCATTTTCCCAGAAATCACGTCTCCTACAAGAGCATCTCAAACACCAACTTTATCAGGCAGAGAAACAACACAACAGAGTTCAGTGGACCTACAGCTGTCCTCCAAAAGTGCACTAATCCTGCACGCCACAAGGATGGCACTGACTGTACTCACTGTCAGTTTATTCTCAGTTTGAACCCTCAAGGTGAAAGGACATTCATGGTATCCTTCTCATGGCTGCTCTGCTCTCTACCAGTACTTTCTCTCTTGGCAGACTCCCAGTGCTGCTCTCTAACCCTCTGTCCCTGGTTCTGCCTGTCACACCAGCACCCACTCATTTTTCCACATGGCTCACACAGTGCCTTTCTCCTTCATGCTGAATTCGCTGGCTTCCCCAAGGGACCCTGAGGAGACAGTTTCAGCCTCCCCTCGCCCTCCTCCCTCTTCTCACACTGGTTACTGCTAGAAATGTGCTCCACCCAGAGAGGCGCACCATGATACAGACAGGTCCACAACCTGCTCAAATGCCACTGTCAGGCATCTAAGAATCTACCGGCCTAGGGCTATATAAGACACATGCCCAGGCTTGAAGAATTTCTTCTTTCAGAAGTCTAGCTTTTCAAAAGGCCCCTCCTGGGTTCTGCTTTAGGGTTTTTTGTCTTTGGGTGGGTTTCTTTGTTGTTTTGTTTTGGTTTTGTCTTTTTGAGACAAGGTTTCACTGTGTAGTTTGGGCCAGCCTTGAACTCACTCTGTAGTGCTGGGACTACAGGATTACATGGTACCACCACATGCCCGGTTTCTTTAGAAGGCTTTACCAGAGAGCAACCTGAACTGCTTTCCATCCCAAGCCCCTAATTAGATCCTCTCACAGCCTCCTCCCCTAGGCAGAAGGCAAGGTGTACGCTTTGTTGCCCATTGGATCTGCTTGGACAGCACCAGCTTGGTGTTACTTTGGAATGTTTCGGAGACTTCCCTGTTCCTATCCTAAGTGGATAGCTTTTGTTCTTTGTTTCCTAAAAAGAAAAACTGGGCCTTGTGCTGCCAAATAAACTCCTGCCTTCTAGTTTGTCCACTGGCTAAGTCAAAATTCGCAACATATGCATTCATTGTTTTGTGTACTACACATGCTTTCCAGCCTACCAACTACTGCTAGGGCACTAACGGTAAAGGATAGAATCCTGGTGCCACTAGCAGTGTGAGGAGACCTGCACTCTAGGTGCAGCTCACCTGTGGGCCCAGTGACAGCCGTGCACCAGTCACTTAACTCCTCTGTGTCTACATTTTTTTCCTGCTCGCAAAAAATCTCATCAGAACAAAGGAAGTGAGTTGACTCTTAGGTCCCCTGAAAATCTCAGAAGAATGGCATGACTTCTAGGTGTAATCTGGAAATTTCTGGTTAATGACAAGAAGCTTGCAATCTTTTTTTTTTTTTTTCTTTTTCTTTTTCTTTTTTGCAGAACCACGGATTGAACTCAGACCCTTGCACTTGCCAGGGAAGTGCTTATTCCACTGAGCCATCTCCCTAGCCCTGAAGCTTGCGATCTTGACAGGCATGGGGGTGTACACAATGGCAATCCCAGCACTCAGGAGGTTGGGGCAGGAGGGTCACTATGAGTTTGAGGCCTGCCTTAAAAAAAAAATAAATAAATAAAAATAAAAAAACCTTACAATCTTTTGTTGAAAAATCCACTTGAAGGTTCCCACAGAGAAAAATAATTCCTCAAGTCCCTTTTTTGGCTCCCCATAAACAAGTGTTCCAAAAACCAAGCCAAAGAGAAAAACAGAGCAAGAGACATGACCTGTCCAGAAGACCAACAGTCAATGCATAGGAAAGAGTTAAGGTCCAGCTGGGGTGGGGAGGAACCCTGGTTATAGCAACCAGGAACAAAATGATTTTGCTCCAGTTAAATTCTGTTCTCACGCTGGCCTTTATGCCTCAGTGCCTGTCAGGAGCTGAATCGGGGGCCCAGTCCTGTCAAAGGAGGTGATCATAAACAAGAGCAGCAGCCACACATTACGTGTGGGAACCAGCAACAGAAGCTCTGCGGCCCTGAGCGGTGTCAGCTGCTGAGACATGACAGTATGCTATTCAAGCTGCCCTCTGTCCAAGCAAGATCAAAAGGCCTCAGGATTACTAACCCCATTTCATTACAATAGGCTCAAAGTTTGCCCAAGCTGACCTAAGAGCCGGTAGGTATGGGACTGGGGCGGGGGGATGTGGCCTGGGAGTAAAGTGTCTGCCTAGCGTGCACAAAGCCCTGAGGTAATCCCCCTCAAAACAAAAACAAAAAAACTAGATCTTCTAGGTCGGCGGCAGTGCACGGATGGCACATGTGCCCCAGCAGCACGCGGAGGCCCCTCTGGCAGCACGCGAGCCAGACCGCCTCAGCAGCCAAGCACCATGCAACAGTGGCTTATTGTAAACCAAAACCTCAGAATTCAGGCTTAATAGCAGGGTCGGCATTTTGTGATAAATAAGTTGTTTTGGGGTTGCAGTTTGGGTACTCGTCTCTAAAAAGTTCACCCCCTCCATTCTAGGTCCTGGTGCCCCGACTGCTGCACAGACCATGTAGACAGCAAGGTCACTGGGGCATTCCTATAAACCTGTGACATCATCACTCCTAACACTGAGGCTGCCCTCACTGGAGCCCCAAGAGTTGTCACATGTTTACGTTAGCTCTCCCAGGAGCTTTGTGAGAAAAGATAGTAAATTACTCATTTCTCTACCCATATGCCTAGTTCATGATTTGGTCAGTGTGCTGCTATTGGTGACCATTTCTGGGTCCCACTGAGATGACAATAAAGCTGCCTACAGTACAACATTCCAGCTGCTGCCACTCCCACAGTGACCGGAGAGCAGCAGGGTCCTCCCGCTCAATGTGCCCAGTGATGGCTCCCTCGGAGTTCCCAATCCTGCTAAGGATGACCGGGCAAAGGTGAGTGGGAAAGGGATAAAACTAAATTTGGAGAGTTAATGGTGAGTTTCCTCAAAATACTTTTGCAATAATGAATAGAACCAGGATACACATGATTCAAAACAAACACTACGAAAGCATGGCTCCATGTGCATCACTGTGAAGGCCAAAGCACGAGCCTGCTGCCCAGAAAGCATCACTACCGGCACCCAGAAGCAGGCAGGCTTCAGCTCGCCAAGGCACCTCGCCCCACACCCATGTCTGTAGTGTGGGTGGGAGCAGAACGTGAGCGCTCACTGGCATGGATGCCCAGGGACTGCAACAGCCATACCTGCTGATGCTCCTGAGCCTGGGCCAGGGAAACAGAGGTGGCTTGTGCAGGTGAAGCAGGGAGGCTTGGTGAGGTAGGAGGTACTGTGCAGGGGTGAGGCTGAGTCAGGAAGGCCTGCTGCTCAGGGAAGTCCGGGGATAAGGTGGGGACATGAGTCCTGGCCTCCTCAGAGATTACGGGCTGCTGACCAAGCACCAAGAACACCAGCTCTTCTTTCTCGCGGCACATTTCGGTAGAGATGTCATGGAGGCTGAGGTAGTCCCTCAGGTCCTTCACTTTCATCTTCATAAGCTCCTCCCGCTGAAAGCCTGTGGCTCTGAACCGTTGGCAGAGGAGGCAGAGGCGGGGCCCGTTCCCCTCTTGGCTTGAACAGGTCATGCAGAAATGCTTCTTACAGTCCAAGCAGGTCTGCTGCTTAGAGCAAGAGGCAGAGGAAAGCACATCAGCTCAAGAGACCAAGACAGACTGTGGGGTGGGAACTGCGGGGCCACCATGCCCACCAGGACCAGCTCCCATCACTCTCCTTGCTAAGCTGTCTCCTGAACCCAAGGTACAAGCTACCTTACAGACTTCCAACTGGAAGCCACTCCAAGGCAGCAGACCTTCTGTGTGTATCTATGGGTCCATGTCACCAAAAATTAACACTACCAGATTTGGAACAAAAAAGCTGTGCAGTTTTAAGTCACCATTTTTGGTGATGTCTCCTGGGGTATATAACAGCCTCTCTGGTGCTAAGCCTTCACATTGGTAAGGGGGTGGAGATGGGTGACAACAGTATGTACCTCACAAGGCTATAAAGATTAAGAAATAATGCATTTAAGTACGTCTCACACATAAGGAGGCCTTGGTAATTGTCAGCAGTTTTAACCATTATTGCTAAGAAATACTGGCTAACGATAAGGGCCGGGATTCAAATCCTAATCTGTCATTCTTTCTGCCTTATTGCTTTATTTGATTCTTTATTACTGAGAAATGAGAGCAAATGTATGAAGGCTATGGCAGTAGTGACTGCTACTATGAGCATTAATTATACCAAGGGAGTCCTACATACTATCTGCAATAGCTTGTCATTTAATTCTCAAAGCACCTTCCAAAGGAAGTAGTAGCCATCTTCACTGACTCACAAAGCAACTGAGGACTAGTGAGATCAAGTATCGTGTTCAAGGTCAGACAGTAAAGGCAGAGCAGCCGCTCACACTTGAGGCCTCAGCCCAGTGCCCGTGACCTCCTCCCCCCTGGCCCTTCCGGCTCTGCAGTCCCACCCCAGCTGCCAGCAGTCCAGCGCCTGGCTTTCCACCTCCAAACTGCCAAGCTCGTGCCTTCCACAGAGGCTGGGGCCAGGCTGCCCTCCTCAGCACGGCCATCCTCAGTGCTGGGAAGTGTGTAGGGCAGAAGATCATTTCCATGATAAATATTTAGATGCTGAGAGCCCCTGGGCCTGAGGCTGCTGTCCTCCATGAAAGCACTGTGCGTCACAGGCAGGCACGCCTGACAGACAAGCTGGCACTGCCCGGCAGCCGCTACGCTACAGTCACAGGCAGCACACCAAGACTTGCTCAAGCCACAGCAAGCAACCCCTCAGCCACTCAGCCCACAGGCTGCCAAAGTGTGGGACCATCTGGCTGAGTTCTGCTCCGGCTGAGGGTAGGTCACCCTCACAAAAGAGACGTAATTCCTGAGATAATCTGTTAGGAGAGTCCTGGGGGAGTCATCATACTCAGTGATCCTCTAAGGAAGTTAAAAACTTTTCATCCCGTGGCAAGGGAAGAATTAACCTACATGTTTCTGTTCCCTCTTCCTAAATATAGGAAGCTGTTCAGGCTACAAAAGAATGCCCAAGAGGCAAGGGCACAGGAAACCCTTGAGTGCGGCTGACGTAAAAGTCTGCACAGTTAAGGCAGTTATAGTAGTAACAGCCATTCATACAGTACAGTCATTCATATAGTAAAAGGAAAAAGCCCTAAACTTTACTGTCCAGTTTGGGCTATTAAGATTTAGAAGGCATTACAAAGGGACACACACAAGCTCCTTTATTCTCCACACAGTTATAACCACAACATAAACTGCAAAGACTGACAGAAAAGGACACACAGCTTCACTAAGACTATAACAGGTCTAGGATCAACAATCATGCAAGTGGAAAAATGGGTGTTTGGGGGTAACAGGTTTGTTCATATCTGAAATTTTCCTGTGTGGAGATGAAATGTGTCTAGGTAGGGAAACGAAGAGCTTCAAAGTCGGAAAGCTGAGGCGCTGATGTGGAACATCACTTAAGTCAATGCAGTTTGACAAGTTGTAGCTAGAAAGAGTTAGAAAGCCTGCACTGCTCAATCAGCCAGATACAAACAACTCTCTCTTCGTTCTTCAAATGTGTATGGCTTGTTGAATGCAAGATCACAATGCAAAAACAGCAAGCCCGCTCTGTCACCCTCTGCCCACCAGGGACTCTGAAGTCAAGCAGCCTCTGAAACACATCCTCAAGAACAGGACAGTGCTCTGGGCTAAAATCTCAGCATGCAGTAGCAAGAGAGAACAAAGGGGGAGGAAAAAAAGAGCCATCAATTAATGCAGGCAGAAGGAGCAAAGGGAGCTTGTGTGTACAGATTCTAGCAAGTGGTTCACACGAGCCAAGGAGCAAGACAGCATGAAAGATGAAGAGTGGAGGCAGTGCGCCTGCAGGGATGCCAGGGTACCTGCCTGCAGCCTTCGGAGTGGGTGGCAGCACCTCGGCCGACCCGCCCTTCAGGGGCCACACGAGGGCGCTTGGCCTTCTCTGCTCGGACAGTCTGCCTTCCTTCCCCATGCACTCCTCAGCGCATGCCCTGGCTCTGCCTAGGCCCCCATCCCACCATACTATTCTAAGAACACTGATGTAGCATGTGAACTAATTTATATAAAGCTCAGTATAAGGTGGGCACCAGAAGGCAACAGAATCGCCTTTTGTACCTTCCTCTCTGCCTCATCACTCTGGCTTTCGCAGCACAGAACCAGTCCTCTGTTTCTACTCTGGGATCTAAATACCACTTCTAGGTGCCCAGGTTCAACTGTGCCGCCTTCAGGCTGGCCCAATGAAACCGGTTGAGTGCCAAAATCCCCACCAACACTGTCAGGTCCTCTGCTGCACTACAGGCAGGTTTGTGGCAAAATGACAGCCTGCCAGTTCTCTCTATGCTGGGAACTTGGGGCATGCAGGGGTGTGTATTCTCCCCTAACAGTCTTTACCATTACGTATGTTTTATACCCAAAGAGCACACGGGAAATAGACTGCAATGGGGCGGGGGACTTCTACAAAAGACATTTTAAAAGCCTCTGGCCAGCTGGGCTTGGCAGCATACACCTGTAATCCCAATCCTTGAAAGGCTGAGGCAGGAGGATCACTCTGAGTTTGAGGCCAGCCTAGGCTACATAGTGAGTTCAAAGTATGAACTATGTAGTAAGACCCTGCCTCTCTCCCCACCCCCCAAAAAGCTAAAAGCCTCTGGCTGTTAAATGCCAAACCTTTAAAATAAGAACACTAATCGAGGCTTGACAAGGTGGTGCACACCTGTACACCATGGTGTACTCAAAGTTATCCTGAACTACATAGTAAGACCTTGTCTCAAAAAAATCAGAAAACATAGAGGTCAGGGAGATGGCTCAGTGGAATAAGCACTTCCCTGTCAAGTGCAAGGGCCTGAGTTCAATCCCCGGTTCCACAAATAAATAAATAAATAAATAAATAATCAGAAAACAAAAACCAAAAAGAACACTGGCTCACTTAAGCATGAAATTACAAATGAAAAATTCTTGTAAAATACCTTAATCACAAAATTCATTGTGAACTGCATAAAATTAAGTTTTATTTTTATAGCAAAGAAAATAAAATCACTAACCAACTTTCATCATCTAAATTGGAACCTGTCTAGGCCTGGGATATAGCTCAGTAGCATACCATCTTCCTGGCAAGCACGAGGTTGTGAGTTTGACTCCAGTAACAAAATTAAATAAATAAATAAATAAATAAATAGGAACCCGTCTCCTCCCACAAAGCTCTTCTTGCCATGTGTCTCTGTGGTGTGTGCTGGGAGCTTCCTATCCGACCCAGGCTCTGTGGTCGCAGGGTGGCCTCCTCCATCTCTGCCTCCCCAGCCCAGGCGATGCCTCACACAGGGGATATACACAACTATTTCCGATCAGTAGAAAACACACTGCTAAGTTTAATCACTGCCATGCACTGAGGTGCCTGGGCCTGTCACCTACAATCTTCAATCTCCATGTGTTTCCTGGGGGTGGCTTTAAAGTCCAAGCCCAGGGCTCGAATGTGAGCTCTGCCATTTAATAGGTATGTGATCTTGGGGTGTACTGAAGCAGAGGAAAAAGAATGAGTACAGTACTTTGATATTTCTTATACTGTCTGCCAAGAATTTGATATGTACATTCTTTTTGAAATTTTTAGCCTCTGTTTATCATATGCAAAATGGGATCTGATAGGATTCTAAAATCTATTGTTATGAAGATTAAATGGAAAAAAAAGGCTCAAGCCAGACATGGTGGCCTACACCTACAATCCCAGAAATTGGGAGGCTGAGGCAGGAGGATCCCACAAGTCTCAGGTCAGCCTGAGCTACACTGTGAGTTCAGGACCAGTATGGACTGCAGAGCAAGACCCTGTCTCAAAAAAAATTCAAAATGCCCATTAACTAAGGAATAGATTTAAAAAAAAAGATGTGGTATTTTTACACAATGGAGTATTACTCAGCTATAAAAAAGATAAACTCAAGGCTTTTATAGATAAATGGATCCAACTAGAAACCATACTTGTGAAATAAATCACACCTGCATGTGCAAACATCGAGATGCTAGTGTAAGAACCTGAAAGAGTAAATAAAATCTGAAAGGTACAATAGATACTGTGAAAGGGAAAGAATCTGTTCAATGGGAAGGAAAAACTGGGATGAGGGAAAGGACAAAAGAAAGAAGGAGAAAAGATATATTTATGTATATACACAGGGTAGTTCAGATAACTGTACTGCTGATTTCTTTTTTTTTTTTTTTAAATATTTTTATTTATTTATATGTGGGGGGGCAGCTCAGCCCACCAGGGGGCGGGGCCAGCTGGCATGTGGTGCTGGGGGATTGAACCGCGGTCCCTGTGCTTTGCTAAGCTTGTTCTAAGTAGATGCTTTAGACCACTGAGCCATCTCACCAGCCCCAATATTATCTTTTTTTTTTTTTTTCAGAACCGGGGATTGAACTCATGTCCTTGCACTTGCCAGGCAAGCACTTACTCTACTGAGCCATCTCCCCAGCCCTGTACTGCTGATTTCTGTTGGTTCACTGAAAGGGGCAGTTCATGCTTGAATTTTTCTTCTGTTTTTTAACTTCTTATAACTTTATTTTTTTAACCTATTTTGCATGTTTATATCTGGTAATCTAAACAGCTAATTTGAAGATAACATTATGCAATATAGCAACCATTGTCAAATTTCTTT